ATATGATAAAAAATTACAGACCTCTTTCATTATTGTAAGTAGGAGAACTTGCACAATCATTGGCTGACTAAATACTTTTTGGGCCCACTCTATATATTATATTTTCCTTTTATCCATCCTCTCCATTAATAGGCTGGTAGCATGTTTAATCTATTTTGGGTTATTTTGTTTTATAATCTAGATGAGGCTGAACTGTTTTCTATGTTGATTTTAAACACTGTCAAATACAGTTTGTTATTATGGACCAAACTGTGTCTTTCCTTTTTTTTTTTTTTTCCCCCAAGTGTTCTTCACTGACCGTAGCGGACGGATCACCAGTAATCCGCTACTGGACCAGCTGCCCAGTTACCAGTCCCTGCTGTACCGCAGGAAATCATCAGGAGCTGGCACTAAACGCAGAGGGAGCTCAAGAGGGAGGCTGAGCTCCTCTGGCAGCGTGAAATGGACCATTAACACCATGAGAAGAATTGAGGAGAAGCAGACGAGTCAGATAGGGCAGCGCGCTATCAGAGAACTAGCCTTAAACATGGCTCAGAAACGTAGAAATAAGTAGGAAACTCTTTGATACTTTTTAGATATCTTGCTTCGGACTTAAAAAAACTGCTGCTTGTTTCCCCCTTTGAGTGCACTAAGTAGGCATTGGGCAACAATGGGACTCTTACTGTAACCTGGAAGTAGAACTACTGCAGTATTATAGTGCTAAAATAACTTTTTTATGAAATTATTTAATAACTTTTTACTTTAATTTACTTTTAATGCCAGTTGACCAGCAGGGTGCAGCAACAGGTGAGGTAGATGTAACCTTGCTTAATTTGTGCCCCATGCAGGAGGAGAGTTATTTAATCTCTCTTGCATTTTCGCTGGTTATAATTAAATGGAATTTATCTCTATGAATCCCAATAATAGGATTGATAGCAATTATAGCTAACTGAGTTGCTGTCAACCTTTGCCTACTTTAATACCACTAAATCAGCTATTCCCTTGTAGTAGCGTTATGTTTGACTGTATCTCCCCTACAGAGATCAGCCTTTGAATAAGAACCAAGATTTAAGCAGCTGGAGACAATGGAGGCAAAACACACGCAGGAATCTGAAGAGGCTGCGGGACGATGCTGAGGTATTTCTAAGCTCCATGAAGCTCTGGAAGAGGGACATCCATCAGATAGAGGGTGAGATAGGAAAACTTTGCACTCTAAAGTCAAGATGTTTGCAGTGTTCTTGATTTATGGACCCTTATTTCTCTTTGATATGTTCATAGGGATGTTTGGAACAGGGATCCTGTCCTACTTCTCATTTCTGCGCTTCCTGGTTGCGCTCAACCTGTTTATTTTCCTGCTCATGTTCAGCTTTGTCATCTTGCCCATCATCATTGTCCCCCACACTAAAGGAAATATCACCTACGACCAGCATGACGGTGCGTAGACTCACTTGTTTGTTTCGATGCTAAAGCTTAAACTAAGGATGAAGTACTCACAGCCTGTTCCTCGCTGGTTTATCTACAGAAACTGATTGCAGGGTCTATCAAAGCTCAGCTCGTAGGGGTCTTGTCAACTTTCACACGCACCTTGGGGATCTGCTTTCTGGTGGAGTAAGTTCCTTTACTCTGCAATTACTGTAATATTTTATTAATTCAGTTGATTTAATAACTAGGACAAGTTTGGGACATTGTTAGTGGATGTATTTCAGGTCTAATTTAGTGGAAAAAAGAAATGGTTCATAGAAGTATCTGTTTGTTTTTCCCTGTTTATTTTTACATTAGAGCTTACAATAGGCAACATGGTGCATAAGCCCATCCAACTAGTGCCTTGCCCATTGGCAGATTGAAATATTGTCAGGTTGGTGGCAGTTGTTACCCCAAAGACAGTAAAGGCTTAATTAGAATAGTCTCTGAAACAATTCAGCCATCTGGGATGCAGATATCCAAAATGATTTAGCTGTTTTGTTAACGATTCCAACTAGTCAGTCCTTTTAAATGAGGAATACGCTTGTGTGTGTAATAGTTCATCTCTGTTTTCAGCTCTGCTATGCCTGTTTTGTACTCTTTCAGCTCTTTACTACCTCTGCAACCAATTTAACATATTTTAAAGAGTCATGTTTATAATGAAAAGTTTAGGACTTAATCATTGTGCTTTATCATCAGGGCTTTCTGGAACAGACTTACCTTTTCTACGGCTTCTACAAAGTGGATAAAATCCACTTTCCAAAAGCCACATACAATTTGGCGCTGGCATATCTCCTGGCAACAATAGCGTACCTCTTGTTAAGTCTGATTTGGATTGTTAAAAGGTATATAAAGAAATAAATCACCTTAGACGCAAAATTTATGAGCAGCTCAGTTTTTTATTTTTGGTAATTATTATTATTTCTTTATTTTGTTTTAAGGTCTGCCACAGGATTCAAGCGCAACCTGGTCCAGGATGAGGATCGCTTTCAAAGTTTTTGCAACAAGATCTTTGCCGGCTGGGATTTCTGCATCACTGATCAGAACACAGCAAGGCTAAAGAGAAAGAGTCTGTTCTACGAGCTTAAGGTCAGCTCAGGATTCTGGTTTAAGCCTGTCAGTCACATTTAAACATGGTTGAAAATGTCTTTTCAATCATGCATAATGTACATATCAGGATACAGCACCAGATAAATGTAATAAAACTACATCTTTAACAATATTTTTATATCTATTTTGATCTCTAATAAT